CCACCATCTACAAGGCAGGAGGGCATAGTCACGGAATAAAGGGGCGCCAATTTAAGACTGCGATGAGGAGTAATTTCTTCTGAGGGCTGATCGACTTTGGAACTCCTTGCCACAGAGAAGTGTGGAGGCAGAATCCTTGTGTGTATTTAAAGGATGAGATTAAGGTGGTGATAGCCTAGTGGTATTATCACTGGACCATTAATCCAGAGACCCAGGTAGTGTTCTGGGCATCCCGAGTTTGAATCTCACCACAGCAGATGATGAATTTTGAATTCAATAAAAATTTGGAATTCGGAGTCGATTGTCAGGAAAGACCCACCTGGTTCACTACTCTCCTTTAGGGAAGGAATCTGCCATCCTTACCTAGTCTGGCCTACATATAACTCCAGACTTTAAACTGCCCCCTGGGCAATTAGGGTCAGGCAATAAATGCTAGTTCAGCCAGTGATGCCTTCATTCCATGAATGAAAAAAAATTCTTGATCAGGCTGGGAGTTAATAATTATGAAGAAAAAGTAGGAAAAAGTGAACATGAGAAATGTCGAATCTTACTTAACAGGCTCAAGGGGCTGATTGGCCTACACCTGGTCCTATTTCTTATGATCTCATGGCTTAAATCAGGAGTGTGATGGAATTCTCCCCATTTGCCTGGATGATTACAGCTCCTATAACACTCAAGAAGCTGGTCATCATCGTTGCACTGCAATAGCTCACTAAGGCTCCTTAGACAGCACCTTCCAAACCAGCAACCACCACCATCTAGAAAAGGTAACACCATTACCTGCAAGTTCCCCTCCAAGCAATTTACCATCCTGACTTGAAAACATATCGCCGTTCCTTCAATGCTGCACCAAATGGCCTGCAAGTGGTTTAAGAATGCAACTCAAGACCAGCTTCTCCAGAAAAAGATAGGAATGGGCAATGGATGTTGACCCAGCTAGTGAAGACCCTTAATCTGTAGAAGAACCAGCCCGATTTAGATACCTCAATCTATGCTTCCTGACCAAGGCCTATGAGCCGCAGCAACTCAGGTGAAGAAATGGACTGGTGAATACACAGAGTGATAAGATTTTTTACAAAACAATGTGAAAACACATTTATATGCGCACTTTTTTTTGTTCTTAAATCAACCAATTGAGACATACAACGACACTGCCGGGGCAATTGGGATTTGAACATAGATCTTCTGGCGCAGAGATAGGACCAGTACCAATTTTTCACAAGACAGTCCTGTATGTGAACTTTAATAACTATATCTTGATTGTTCCATGCTGGAATATTGCTGAGCTCCTTTCATTTGCGTCAGGGGTCAAGTTAATTTTCTTTACTTTGTAGTTTGAAGAGCTCTGATCTGATGTAATCTCTCAATCATTCTGCTTGGCCTAATCTATATTCTTCCAGTCAGTGCTGCATCCTCCCTAAACAGTGATGACAGGAAATATATACAGCACTCAAAGTGTGAATGCACCAATAATTTATTAAATGGCATGATTACATCACTATGTTGGCTCGAGTCATTTTATTCACTGCCGTCAAACATTGAAGGTTTCAATTCTTTATCCTTCAGGTCCCAGAGCCTTTACTTTTAATCTGCTCGATTTTCTTTCCATTTCAGTAATAGTGCCTCAGGAGATTTCATAGCCCATTGTGTAATCCTTTTCTCCTTTTGAATTTTGTTTGCCATCAGTCTGCTCCATTCCCAACTTTATTCAAATTTTCCTGTCATTTATCCCATTCAATGCAATACAGTGCTTAGTAAAGTGAACTCAAAGGGAAAATAAAAAGCACACAAATTGGCAAAAAATATTGGCCTGATAGTTTAGAAGTCAACAAAGGAGGACCAAGGGATTGAATCAAAGGGAAAACTGAGTGTGAGTGTGTAAGCTTGTGGGGAACACAACAGCTCACTGTAGAAGTTTCTATTAGGAATGTAAAGATAAAAAGATTGGTGAACACTAATGTAGGCCCCTTATAGTCAGAAACAGGAGTGTTTATAATGGAGAACAAAGAAATGGCTGACTGACTAAAATTAGTACTTCAGCTCTGTCTTTACAAAAAAGAGGACACAAATAATGTACCAGAAATGATAGGGAACATTGGGTTTAGCGAGAGGGAGGAACTGAAGAAAATCTGTATTAGTAAAGAAATGGTGTTAGGGAAATTCATGGGATTAAAGGCTGATAAAGTCCTAGGGCCTGATAATCTACATCCCAGAGTATTTAAGGAAGTGGCCTAGAAATAGCGGATGCATCAGTGGTAATCTTTCAAGTTTCTGTCGACTCTGGAATTGTTCCTATAGATTGGAAAATAGCTAAAGTAACACCTCTATTTTCAAAAAAAAAGAGATAGAGAAAAAAAAGGAACTGTAGACCGGGCGATACAAGTCTATTGTGAATCAATAGTGGGGAAGATACGAGAGTCCATTATCAAGGATTTTATAGCAGGGCACTTAGAAAACAGTGGTTGAGTCAGACACAATCTGCATGGATATGCAAAAGGGAAATCGTGCTCAACAAATCTCCTGGAATTCTTCAAGGATTTAATAGTAAAGTTAATCAGAGGGAGACAGAGTGTGGTTTATTTGTACTTTGAGAAGACTTTTGACAAAGTCCACCCAAGAGATTAATGCGCAAAATTAGAGTGCATTAGATTGAGGGTAGAGTATTGAGATGAATAGAAAATTGGTGAGCAGGAAACAAAGAGGAGGAATAAATGGGTCTTTTCCTGAAAGCAGACAGTCACTAGTGGGGTACCGCCGGGATCATATTAGGAGCCCAGCTATTCACAACATATATTAATGATTTAGATGACGGAACAAAATATAATGATATTGGAGATAATATACCAACATGGATAGAGAACTGGTTGACAGACAAGAAGCAGGGAGTTGGAATACACAGGTCCTTTTCAGAGTGGTAGGCAGTGATGAGTGGGGTGCTACAGGGTTCAGTGCTGGGATCTTATAGAAACCCATAAAATCCTGATAGCACTGGACAGGCTAGATGTGGGAAGAATGTTCCCGATGTTGGGAAAGTCCAGATCTAGAGGTCACAGTCTAAGAATAAGGCGTTACCCATTCAGGACTGAAATGAGGAAGAATTCATTCACTCAGTTATAAACCTGTGCAATTCTCTTTCACAGAAAGCTGTTGGGGCCAGGTCATTAGATATATTCAAAAGGTAGCTGGACATGGCCCTTACAGCTAAAGCGATCAAGGGGTATAGAGGGCAGGAATGGGATATTGAGATTGCATGATCAGCCATGATCGTATTGAATGGTAGTGCAGGCTCAAAGGGCTGAGTGGCCTCCTCTTGCATCTATTTTCTATGTTTCTATAACGTCTCAAAATTTGTAGTTGTCACACAGCTGGATGAAAGGGCAAGGTGTGAGAAGGATGCAGAGATGTTTTAGTGTGATTTGACAGGCTGAGTAGGTGAGCAAATGCATAGCAGATGCAGTACTATGTGGATAACTGTCAGGATATCCACTTGGAAGCAAAGATCGGAAGGCAGACTATTTGAATAGCTATAAATTGAGAGAGGGGAATGTTCAGCGAGATCTGGGTGTCCTCATGTACCAGTTGCTGAAAGTAAATGCACAGGTGCAGCAGACAGTAAAGGCAGCAAATTGTATGTTGGCCTTCATAGTGAGAAGATTCGAGTACAGAAACAGGGATGTCTTCCTGCATTTATATAGAGCATTGCTGAGGCATTACCTAGAATATTGTGTGCAGTTTTGGTCTCCTTATCTGAGGAAGGATGTTATTGCTACAAAGGGAATGCAGTGAAGGTTTACTATGCTGATACCTGGGATGGCTTGATGGATCTATGAGAAGAGATTAAGTCAGTTAGCATTATATTCACGGCAGTTTAGATGAATGAGGGGGGGAAATCTCATTAGAAACTTATAAAATTCTATCAAGACTACACAGTTAGGTGAGGGAAGGATGGCAGGGGAGTTCAGAATCAGGGTCATAGTTTAAGAATAAGGGGTTACCCTTTCAGGACTGAGAGGAGGAGAAATTTCTTCACCCAGAGAGAGGGGAGAGTGAATGGAGAAGGGGTTTGATCCATTGGGAGTCTAAATTTTTGCAATGATTTGTACGAATCTAGAACAAACAAGTTATTTTTTTTAAAAAATGTGAAATAGAATGGATGCTGGAAGTTTGAAATAATGAAAAAATTTGCTGGAAATACTCAGCAAGTTTGGCAAGACCTGTACTGAGAGAAACAGAGTTAGTATTTCAGATCAATCACCTGTCATTGGAAGATGAGAAGGTTTGAGATGTAGCAGGTTTAAAGCAAATGCAAGAAGGAAGAAGACAAACCCAAACAAAATAGAAGATCTGTGTTAGGGTGAAAGACAGTAGAGATTAAATGATGGCCATCTCTGGTAGATGTGTTGCCATGGCGAATGCAGCAGTTAATTGTCAGGTTTTGTTTAAATTTTAAACCAGGCAAAACTTGACTCAATGTTCAATGATCATTAACTGCTGCATTCGCCATGGCAACACCTCCCCCAGAGTCCACTTGTTAACCAATTAGCACTCTCCTCACATACAGAATAAATTTGGGTTTTTCACTTTATTGATATTTTTGCAAATTGACCTGATGACTGCAAGACGAAAAGCTTTGACAAGAATGTACCTTTTCAGCAATACTCAGGTGCTATACGAACAAGCAACCATTTGTAAGTTAAAGAGACCATAACAGAACAAGTCAGGGAGGAAAGGATGCATGTAGAAGAGGGGTGAATGGCAACAGCAGGATCACCACTGTGAGCTGCTACTCAAAAACAAAATAAAGCACTCAAATAAAAGTAAGAATTGGAAAAGGGAAATGGAAACTACAGTCTGAAAATGTTGAAATCATAATGGAGTCTGGAAAGTAGTAAACTGAAAGATGAGATGCTGGTCCTCAAGCTTCATCAAAACAGTGCAACACAACAAGGACAGAGAGGTCAGTGTGGGAATGGGATGGACAATTTGAATTCTAATCCTACCTCATCTTTCTCATGCAGGTTAATATCAACCGACTCATCATCTCCAAGCTGTCTCTTGGGCCGAATGAAAGCAGGTGGAGTAGCCCGCTCATTCCACTCCAGCTCCTCGGGCTCGACTCCTTTGCCATCTCTCAGCCTCTCCCAAGCTGCCTGATTCCTCTTTGCCTCCTGTGTCTTGGGCTCCGATCCTCCAGCCACCTCCTTGTCCTGATCTTGACTGCTCGCCTCGACCTCCGGCTTTCTCCGGATCAGCTCAGCCCGATTCCTGGTTGATCCCTTGTCCTTCAGCCCGTCTTTGAAGGCCGACACCACCACACTGGCCTTCTGCACCTGCTCGACCGTCTGCTTCTTGGACAATAGAACCCCCATTGTCAGTCTGAGAGGCAGCACACACAGATCTACTCTACTTCATCATGTGTCTATAAAGATTGGACAAATTACTCAGTTACACCATCATCTCATCAATGTTGTGGATTCAGCATGAAATTACTTCAGCCACCTGTTAAAAAAACAGAAAGAAAGAGAGAGTAATTATTCAGTCCACGTCCTAGAATCATTCAATGGAATAGCACAGAGGGAGACCATTCAGCCCAGCATATCTCTGTTGGTTTGTCAACTGAGCGATTCAATAAGACCTAGTCCCAACTCTTACTCTGGAGAGATGTGACATTGTGGTACTATCACCGAACTGATAGTCAGTAACTTGGGGCTAATGTTCTAGAGACGTGAGTTCAAACCCTTCCTGTGGCAGGTGGTGAAATCTGATTTGGATTTCTTGTTTATTTCTAAAATCTGCAATTTATAAAAGGTAACCCACGACAACCATGTAATCAACTCAATTGCTGTAAATCGGCCACATCAGACTAACGTTACGGGGAATAAAATCAGAAATTGATGGAGGAACTCAGCAGGTCTAGCAATAATTGTGGAGAGAGAAAAAGAGTTAATGTTTCAAATCCAGAGTGACTATCCTTCAGTTCTTCAACTCATCTGCTTCAGTAGTGTCCTTTAGGGAGCTTTCCTGGTCTGGCCTACATGTGACTCCAGACCCACAGCAATGTGGTTGACACTTAACTGCCCTCTCGGCAACTACAGATGGGCTATAAATGCTGACCCAGCCAGTGACACCCATGTCATGTGAATGAACATCTGAAAAAGAACATCATATGATGTGAAGAACTGAACATGTGTGACACATGTCCACACCCTCACTAAGACCTTTTATTTCCATTTCTATAGCATTAACCTATATACTCACCCTGCTCCCCCTATCTCAGCTCATGTTCAAATCTTCATTTGTCCTTTTGTTACCTTAAGGCCCAATGATTTGGATGGAAATATAGAAGGCATGGTTTGTAAGTTTGCCAATGACACCAAAATTGGTGGCATAGTAGACAGTGAAGGTTTTTAAAATTACAGAGGGATCTTGATCAAATGGGTCAATGAGCTAAAAATGGCAGTTGGAATTCAATTTCGATAAATGCAAGGATTGGGCTTTGGTGCAACAAACAGGGACAGAACTTATACAATTAATGGCAGGGCCTTGGGTAGCATTGTAGACCTAGAGGTTCAGGTACATAATTGTAGACAGGATGGTTTAAAAGGCATTAAGCATGCTTGCCTTCATTGCTCAGTCCTCCGAGTATAGGAGTAGGGAAATCAGGTTGAGGTTGTACAGCACGTTGGTGAGGCCTCTTCTGGAGTACAGTTCTGGTCACCCTATTATAGGAAGGATATTATTAAGCTAAAGAGAGTGTTCAGAAGAGATTTACTGGGATGTTGCTGCGTATGGAAGGTTTGCATTATAAATAAATGTTAGACAGACTGGGACATTTTTCACAGGAACGTAGGAGGTTGAGAGGTGACCTTAAAGAGGTTTGTAAAACCGTGAGGAGTATAGATAAGGTTAATGTAGGTATCATTTCCCTAGGCTGCAGGATTTCAAGACTTGGGACATACTTTTAACGCGAGAGGGGAGACAATTAAAAAAGAGATGAGGGCAACCTTTTTTCGTTTTTTTTTTTTTTTTTTTTTTTATTTTTTTTTTTTTTTTTACACAGACGCGGTTTGTGTGTGGAATGAACTTCCTAAGGAAGTGGTGAATGTGGGCACAGTTACAATGTTTCAAAAGACATTTAGATAAGTACATGAATAGGTTCAGGTTTGAAGGGATATGGGCCAGGAGCAGGCGCATGGGACTAGATCAGTTTGGGATTATGTTCAGCATGGGCTGGTTGGACCGAAGGGACTGTTTCCATGCTGTATGACTCTATAACTGATGGGTACATTTTTAAATATTTTAAAGACAACAAGGGGCATGGGGGAGAAAGTGATTATGGCATTCAGATCGAGAATCAGCCATGATCATATTGAATGGCAGAGCAAATTTGATGGACTGAATGGCCCACTTCTGTTCCTACACCTCGAGATCTTATGGTCTCACTTGAAGATTTATTGATTGATTGATTGTCACATGTACCTTAGTACAGTGAAAATTTTTGTTTTCAAGCAGCACAGGCAGATCATAGCAAGATACAAGTCATAGGGTGAAAAAAAACTTGGACTGAGGCACACAAGTTACATCACACAGGGCATGTGCTAGGCATGATCAAAATTAGCAAGATCAGCATTATTTGAAGTTAGAGAGAGTCCATTCAGACTAATAACGGCAGAGAAGAAGCTGTTCTTGAACCTGCTCAATTGCTGCAAATTGGTCACATCAGACGTACGTGTGTTCAAGCTTCTGTATCTTCTGCCTGACGGAAGGGGCTATAGGAGAGAACTACCAGGGTCCAGTGGGTCTTTGAGGATGTTGGCAGCCTTTCCGCATCAATGGGCCATGTAAATGGAGTCCATGGATGGAAGGGTGGCTTCTGTGATGATCTGGGCTGTGCACACAACCTTCTGTAGTTGCCTATGGTCCTGGGCAGAGCACTGCCTCTGACAGTGTGGCACTCCCTCAGCACTACACCATAGCATCAGCCTGGGAGGATGTGCTGAAATGCACAGTGGGAGATTAGAAACCACAGGCTATCTGCTCAGGAAGTGAGAACATGAACAATGCTGCAGCTGTCACCAGGGGCATTAACAAGAACGCTGGTGGAATTACAAATGGTGTTGGCATATAGAGACTGGGAATTGGTCTGCCATGACCACCACCCCCCCTCCCCCCACCGTAGCAGAACCTTGGCCCAATTAGAAAACCCAAGCTTGACCTCACAGAGCAGGCCAGGCACAATCTTGGCACCTGCTCATCTCAAGCCCAGCACCAGAGGCTCTCATTGACCAATAACTCTATCAGCCACACTGCATAAACAGTGGCTACAAGAGCAGGTCAGAGGCTAGGAATACTGCAGCAAGTAACTCATCTCCTGACTCCCCAAATCCTGTCCACCATCGACAACGCACAAGTCAGGAACTTGATGGAAAACTCCCCACTGGTCTGGATGGGTGCAGCTCCAACAACACTCAAGAAGCTTGATACCATCCAAGACAAAGCAGCCCACTTGATTGGCACCACATCTACAAACATCCACTCCCTCTACCACTAATGCTTAGTAGGAGCCGTGTGTACTATTTACAAAATACACTGCAGAAATTCACTAAAGATCCTCAGACAGCACCTTCCAAACACAAAATCATTTCCATCTAGAAGGGCAAGGGCAGCAGATACATGGGAACCCCGTCACCTGTAAGTTCCTCTCCAAGGCACTCACCATCCTGACTTAGAAATACATCGCCGTTTCTTCTCTGCCACTGGGTCAAAATCCTGTTGCTCCCTTCCAACCAACATTGTGGATCAACCTACAGCACAACAGCGGGTCATGAAGGCAACTCACACCCACCCTGTCCAGGGTAACTAGGGACAGGCAATAAATGTTCACCCAGCCAGTGATACCCACCTCCCATGAGTGAATAAAAGAAAATTGGGATATTTTGGGGTGGGTTAATCTCAGATTTATATATTAACAAAACACTTCCAAATACTTGGTGCAAATGATGGGATATTTATTCCTGAGAATTGATCACATTGTGAAGTCATAACTTGGCAGAAATATCTCTCAGATCGGCTTCACTTTAATTCAAAATCATTTCTGCTCTTTCCACATGATAAGGCTAATCCAAAAACAAGGACTCATCTCATTTACAACAGCAATTCCCCCAGTGGAGTGGCAATCCATTCCTGCTGATATTTCCCCTTTAAAAACTTTGTCTATTTTCATTCAACCATTCCTTCCTCATTTCTGTCTCTCTCCTTCTCTCCCTCCTATCCCTGTATCACCATTTCTCATTTTCACCCTCATCTTCATCCTCCTTCTCTCTCTTTCCCCCTCCCCATTTCTTCTCCACTCCCTCTTTCCTTCTCATTCCCTCCCTCTCACACCATTCTCAATCTCCTTTCACATCATGTCTTTTCCTCTCTCTTTCATTCCTTCTCTCGCTATCTCCTCCCCAACCTCCTGTCTTTTCTGTTTCCCCTCCGTCTCTCACCATGCCCTCTTCAAACCCCTCTGTACACACTGTCTCTCTCCTCTTCCCTTTCCTTTCCTGTCCTGTCCTTCTCTCTTCCTCGTCTACTTCCCTCTCCCTTTCTCAGTCCCTTCTCTTCCCCACCCAGTGCCCTAGACACCTCCTTAGCCCTCTCTCGCACCCAAGCCCACACCATGACGATCTCCCTCTGCTGGCTGCCTGTTGGGAGATCCCCACCCCCCAAAAAAACCTATCCAGGGAGCTCCAGCTTTCAGGGCAGCGTCCATTTCAAAGCAGTTATATGTTTCTGTTCATTTCTCATTTCCTAGGAGCCCACTTGATAAATAATCGACACACCAGGGCCACAGTTCACCACGACTTTTCAACTCTCTGCTGGATAATTACTTCAGTGTTAAATTAACGAGTGGGCTCGGAGATTGTGACATTTAGAGTTCGATCCAGTTACCAAGTTGAAAGTAACCTTGTCACTTTCACTCTGAGACACCTTTTGAGAAATCAGAAATTATTCAGATAAATTGACATTTCTTAAACATTTATATCAATGTATATTAAATTTAACAGCACAAGCTTGACTTACAGCTCGCTTCCTTGTCCCGTCCTGTCCTGCAGGGTTGAGCCAAGCGAATATGATTCTGCTGTCTCCTTTCTACCGATTGAAAGGTAGCTGCCGTTCTGCTGTTATGCGGGATCTGAAGGGAGGGGGGGGATGCTTTTTGAACCGCCCTGTTTCTGCTTCAGTTTTATATCCAAGTTGGGGATCAGCCTGCACTGATTCCAAATGGAGGGAGGTGTTTTCCAATTGCAGAAACGTTACCTCCCTCTCCCTGTTTCTCTGCAACACACTGATGAAGTGTTAGCTCCGTACACTCCCTCACTGACACTGCTCACGGCAAAAGCGTTGACTGCGGCTTAGGGAAGATCCCAATTTCACTGCAGCCAGATCCACTCCCCCACCCCCATCTGACTGAACTGGCTGTGTGTGAGTGAATAGTCATAGGGGGCGACACTGAGGTCATGTTTGCCCACTCTTCCTCCCCTCACCAACACGTTCATTCCAGCCCCCGGAGTCACCAGGCAAGAAGGTCAGAATCTTACAGCAACAGTATGGAGGCTGTTCAGCCCGTTTGTATCGTGCTTCCAATTAATGTCACTTCTCAGGTCTTCGCTCCTAACCCTGGCAGTTAATCCTCCTCAAATGAACGGCCAATCATCCTTCCAACACTCCTCAGTTCCTCTCTGGTACTCTCCTCCAATTATTTGAGCTGTTATTTGGATAGAAATGGTGTGCAGGGTTATGGGGGGAAAGGCAGGAGATTGACAGTAAGGAATAGAACCAGTGCAGGCATGATGGGCCAAATAACTTCCTTCTGCACTGAAACAATCCTGTGGTTCTGGTTAACATTTGCTGACTGACTCTTTATCCAGAGGGGACAGTGTGTCCCAGCTCTCCCAATCAAGACCTTCCCTGCTTCCAAACCTCTTCCAGAGCCTTCTCTGCCCTCAAGCAAACAATCACAGTTTCTGCATCTTCTAATTTATTCTTTCAGGGGATCTTGGTGTCACTGATATTTATTGCCCTTGAACTGAGTGTAACCCTCAGCAATTCCAGAGGGCATTTGAGAGTTAAACATATCTCTGTGGGTCTGGAGTCACATGGAGGCCAGACCAGGTAAGGATGGCAGATTTCCTTCCTTAAAGAACATTAGTGAACCAGCTGGGTTTTACAATAATTGATGACCTTTTCATGCTCTCCATCATTGATTATTACATTTCAATTCCAAATTGATTAATTAAATTTAGATCCAATCAGCTGCCCAAGTGAGATTTGAACCCACATCCCCCTAGCATTCGCTGGATGACTTGTGCCATGTCTCATCCCTGGTACCATTCTGGTAAACCACCTGCATTGCCCTGATCCCACTGAGGAATGATTAGCACTGGGACAAATCAATAAGAACAAGAGTTGGCTCCTTTAGGAAGGAAACATTGGTCCCACTAACTGAAAGCAGCTCAGTAATGCAGCAACATTGATCCAAAAGCAGCAACTAAACTTGAATCTAGTGATCAGCATCTGTCAGACATTCAATACCCAATAGTGGTGCTCGTGGATCATTGAAGGCAGCAAGCAGGTGCACTGACAGATACCCTGGCTCTGCAAATTGCAGTATGGCCCCAGGATTCGGCCCACAAAATGCTTCTCTAAAGCCTCCACCCTTCCCTCACCATCTCGTTCCCCCTTTCTCAATAGCCAACCCTCTGCATTGAGTTGCCTCTCTTGCCATCTCTCCCCCACACCTCCAACATCAATCCCTACCCCACCTATCTGCCCTAGGAAAGACTGGGAACACAGGGCTAAAATGTACCCAGAGGTGCAGGGTTAGCCTTGAGGTTAAGACTAGATCTAGGGTCAGGGCTGGCATTTAGGTTAGCATTATGGCTTGTGGTAGTATTAAGGTTAAGATTAGGGTGAAGATTAGAATTAAGGCTAGAGCTAGGGTCAGTCTGTCCATTAGGCTAAGGATTAGTGTTAAGGTTGGGTTTATTGCTGGCATTCAAGTCAGTGTAAGTGTTAGGGATAAGACTAAAATTAGGAAAAATAAAATAAAACAACTAATTGCATGTAACACAAGTTTAAAGAATGCAATACACAGAGTAAACATGCAATCTCATTAATCCAACAGCACCCCCTTTGCAGTACTCACACCTAAGGTTTGATTTACTTGTGGCTTCAGTTCTTTCATATTGAGAATCTGATTGCCTCTTCCTTGAATTTTCATACAACAATCTTATGACTTTCTCAACTTCAAATAATCCCTTCAGGGTTTTAACCAAACACTTCTGGTCTGGAAATTAAAAATAACTCCTTACTCTGAATTCATTTATTTCTTAACAGTTTGAAACTATCTCCCCTAATAAGAATAATTGTTTTACACATCCAGCTTCTGCTAAGACTGTTGCAAACTTGCAAACAAAACAGTTTTCTGCAAGCTATTGAGGTTTCCCCTGACCCAAAACATAATGTCCGGATTCTTTTCCCCGAAGCCTAATGTGCAATTGTTTACTCTATTCACTCATAAAACTCAATAGAAACAAAACCCATTGCATTCCAGGAAGACTTCCTGTCATACTGTGTTTTAAAAGAAATCATCATAGCTACAGAAATAATTAGAGATTAATCATTAAATACCCTCATAGATACATACCAAATCCACATGCCACTAGATCAAACTCCAAACTCTAAAATAAATAATTTTAAAACTTAAATAAATCACACTCCATGTATCACAGGCGTCCCCGCAGAATGGCTTAGTAGTAATCCATTCACAAATATGGTTACCTTCTATCATTTATATTGACCCATGATGGATTCCAACATCCACAAAAGTCAAAAGCAGGAAACCAATGGCTCAGTAACTGAAATGAATTGAACATAATTTAAAAGGAAGTTTGATAAACCCATGAGGCAGCAAAGAAATAGAAACATACGCTGATGGGGTGGGATGGGAATGACTGAAGGCTCAGGTAGAACATGGACAATAGCACAGTCTGTTGGGCCAAATGGCCTGTTTCAGTCCTGGACATTCTCTATAATTCTGTGTCACATTTTCTTCCCTTTTGCAGCAGTCAACCTGATTACACTCTCTCATCTTGTTATTTTTTATCATGCAGTCGGCTCGTCGTTTGATCTGACCTTTGATCATTATCCTCAGGAGAACAACGGATTCTGTGATTTCAAACCGGTCTTGTGTGAAGCTTAAAGCAACCTCAGAGATGATAGCGACTATGTGGATATCAGCTGTAGCCCAGTGGGAGAGACACTAACCTATCATGGGCCTCTCTCTTGGGATTTGAGCACCAAGTAGGAGCTGGGAGTCTCCAGGTCAGCACTGAGGATGCCCTGCACTGACAGTAACTCTCTGTGGTATGACGTGTAAATGGTAGCATAGCGCTGTCAAAAAAAGAACACAGGAGTCCACTGCAATATATCAACCCTCAACCAAACCATTATAAAATCATGAGAGCCATGGATTAGGGTGAATAGCCAAGGTCTTTTCCCCAGGGTGGAGAAGTCCAAAACTAGAGGGCATAGGTTTAAGGTGAGGGGGGAAAGATTTAAAAGGGGCAGCTTTTTCACGCAGTGGGTAGTGCGTGTATGGAATGAGCTGCAGAGGAAGTGGTGGAGGCTGGTACAATTACAAAATCTAAAAGGCATCTGGATGGGTACATGAACAGAAAGGGTTTAGAGGGATATGGCCAATGCTGGCAAATGGGACTAGGTCAGATTGGGATGTCTGATTGGCGCAGACGAGTTGGGCGGATGGGTCTGTTTTCGTACTGTTTGATTTTATGTCTCTACAACAGTTCTAATCTAAGACGAGATTATCTGGTCAACTATCATACGTGTTAGGGGAAAGGTACTGGCATAGACAGAGGATTGGCAGACTACAGGATGGCAGCTGGTCACTAGTGGAGTTCTGCAGGGGTCAGTTTTGGGACCACAACTATTCACGTTATACATTAACGATCTGGACAAAGGAACTGAAGGCATTGTTGCTAAGTTTGCTGATGACATAAAGATAGGTGAAGGGACAGGTAATGTTGAGGAGGTGTGGAGACTGCAGAAAGATGTGGACATGCTAGGAGGGTGGTCAAAGAAGTGGCAGTTGGAATACAATTAGGAAGGTATGAGGGTATGTACTTTGCCAGGAAGAATAGAGACGTATATTAATTGGGGAAAGGCTTCAGAAATCCGCAGCAGAAAGAGACTTGGTGCTCCTAGTTCAGGATTCTCTTGATGTTAACATTTAAGGTCAATTGGCAATTAGGAAGGCAAATACAATGTTAGCATTTAATTCAAGAGGGCTAGAATACAAGAGCAGAGATGGACTGCTGAGGCTGTATAGGGCTCTGGTCAGACTGCATTTGGAATATTGTGAGAACTTTTGGGCCTCCTGTCTAAGGAAGGATGAAATGGCATTAGAGAGGGTCCAGAGGAGGTTTACGAGAATGATCCTGGGGGTGAAGGCTGTTATATCAGGAGCGGTTGAGGACTTTTGATCTGTACTTAATGGAGTTTAGAAAGATGAGGGGGTATCTGAATGAAAATTACAGAATACTGAGAGGCCTGGATAGAGTGGACATGGAGAATATGTTTCCACTACTACAGCCCAACAAAAATCCTCATCTTGAAAGTTTCAATGGACCCCCAGTAGAGACAGAACATTGAATTGAGTGTCAGGGTTGGAGAGGGGGAGGGGTGGTTAGTGATGAGGGGAGATTGTTGATGATTTGAGTGAGGAAATCTGGAGGAGAGGCTGAAAGGTAGGTAGAATCACTTGGTACTTTGCCAGTGAAAGTGAACCAACCTCCATCAATCGAGGGTGTGGACCATGCCTGTGGCCATGACATTCAAATATTACCAGATCCTTCCTGAAGCCGGGCAGTGAACTATCCCATCTCAAACTTTCGTTCAGACAGAGATGTACAATTCAGTCTGTAACACAGTCACAAGACACTGATTGGAAAATGATTGAGAAACAAATAATTTGCATTTCTGCAACATCTTACACGATGTCCCAAAGCTCTCTCCAGGTAAGGAAATGTTGTCACTCATAGAATCCCCACAGTGCGGAAGCAGGCCATTTGGCCCATTGAGCCCATACCAACCATCCAAAGTACACTCCACCCAGACCCCTCCCCACCCTGTAACCCTACATTTCTCATTGTTAATCTACCTAGCCTGCATATCCCCAGACACTTTGGACCAATTTAGCATGGCCAATCCACCTAACCTGCACATCTTTGGACGATGGGAAGAAACCCATGCAGACACAGGAAGAATGTGCAAACTCTACACAGACAGACACCTGAGGGTGGAACTGAACCCAGGTCCCTCACATTGTGAGGCAGCAGTGCTAGCT